CAACATGAATTTATGCAGGAATTTTTTTCCCTAATGTGCGGGGAAAAGAAAGAGACTAGATTTTTTCTTTTTTTTTTTTAATTACATATAAAAACCTCACACATCTTCCACCATCAACAGTTCTTAAATAAAGCGGAATTTAGAAAGAATACTAAACAGTTGTTAACTTAGAAAAGTTTAGTCCTCGTTAAAGGGACCAAAAACATTCAGGATGTCACTGACATCAAGATTTACTCATCCTTTAGTGGACTGACTGTACTATAAATAACATGGTAGTGTGAGGGCCCTCATTCTCCTCATCACATTTTAATCTGGCCCCTGTGCAGGATCATGAAACTGAATTCATATATGTGAACCATTAAATCCTCAGTAAGGCCATGAAAAACCTAATTTAATCAAAATGTTTTACTGGCTCATTTAAACTGATAAAATGATTTCAGCAAAACACTTCTGTTTGTGGAAGTTCTTTTTTTTTGCGTGGTCTTGGAACCTGACTTTTCAACTAAGAGTTTCTAACAGGAGAAGGCGTTAGAAATTTAGCAAAAATTAATAAGAACTTCGTGATTTGGAAATAGCAAGACTTGATCAGTTTGGCACTATTGGCAATTTCACATCTGTTCTACAGCAAAAACTGCTACTACTTTCATAGTTATTACGAAGTTGATATATGCTCAGAGGTTGCATCTCTGGAAAACTAGTACTAAAACATGCTTGCATGCTGCAGTTAAGCCAAGAAAAATCTCTAAAAAAATTAAATGGAGATTTAAGCAACAATTGTAACTGTTATAAAAGCCAAGTATTGCTGCAAAGGAAAATGAAGTAGGAAAGCACCAAATGAAAAAGATTTAAAAAAAAAAAGAAAAGATTATAAGGAAGTAATAGCAGTGAATACCAGCAATCAGTTTTCACAAGCTACTATCAGAAATTCCTGTAAATTAAAAATACATAGATACACAGATATGGCAGATGAGTCCTAAATGTATCTGCGTATACTGTACTGGAGGGTGGGGAAAATCACAGAAAATAATAAATATATATCAAACCATTTAATTAACAGCAACAGAGCAGGGGAAAAAAAATCAACGTAATGCACAGGCGAAAAAAAAAAATCAACATAACACACTGTCTGCCAACACACCACAGAAGGTCCTCAAAATGGGGCTATTACATACCTCCGCAAACACATAAACAAAATATCCAGCTAGAGGAGAACACTTGAAAGTGTGCCTAAAAACCACAGCAATAGATGACAATAGTATTGGAAGGCACTTTAATAAGTTGCTGCAAATATTATTCGAGTTCCCAGTCAACACTGCAAAAAGCACAAACAATGGCTCCAAGAAATAGGGGTCAAATATATTTTCAGCATCACAAGAAGGTTAAAAATTGGTGGGGTTGAAAGGGAAGATTCACATCTGAAGCATGGACAAATGTATATATTTTAGTTTTCACATTAGATAGGTTCCTTGCATTATCTTTAAATTACACTTTTGGAAAATTATTACTAAATGTCACTAGATGAATTTGAACAAAAACAAATGTTCTTCCTGTTAGAGCTACCAAATAAACAGTACAAACGAAGAATACAAGATACCTGTAGGTGCTCAATTAGAGGGGAAGCCAAGCAGAAACACAAAAGGGATAGAAACTAGTTCAACAGTAAATATATCTTTTGACATAGTTTTATTTTGAGGCTTAAGCAATATATGAGGAAGAGTATACAATGTAGCTGTCTATAATTAGCAGATCAAAAGAGGTAATTCTGGAGGTCGCTCCCAGTTATATGTTCTCATTAACTTTCATAACTTAAAACTCAACTTTAAAATTTAAAATTCTCAGCAACTTCAATTTTGGACACAAATTCAAAAGCAGTATAAGCCAACCTACATACACAGCTATATTGCCTCTTTTCTTACTCCCCCTTGGTGATGCTCTGGGCAAACAAGTTCAGGAAGCTCAGTCAGCAGCTCATTGGAAGATTAGACAGAAGTCAAAGCTATTGCAATGGAAATAGGATACACACACCTAGACATGAGAGGCAAAGAGTGAGAGCACCAAGTTACACGGCTTAAGTTTTTGTGGAACCACAGCCTTTTTGTATAGCTGTGTCCCACTGGAAAGATTTGACTGGTACAGACACAGGGGAAACACACACAGTGATGGGGATCTTGAAAAGTGTTGTGGATACTAACTTTAGTGAAAAGTTTTTCACTGCTGTAATTTTATCTACATTTCCACAAATTATGCAGATATCATTGTGATGTGATTTACCTGCAAATAAACAATCTTCTGAAACACATCTTCTCTCATGCTCATCTCCACATCAAAATTAGAAAGCTTTTTGTCGGCTTCTGTACTTGCTAAGCATACTTCTTTGTCAGGTGAGACATGCTGGGGAAAATCCAACATGCTTCTTTCCACTGTTTAAATAAAAGGCAATGAACACTTACACAGGAGGCTAGAAACACTTTAAGGAACTTCCCCCTTTCTGATACTTATAGAAGACATAAGAAACAAGTACCCAAAGCAAGCCGACACTTCAGATCAGGCTTAAAGCAAATAAAGTGATTACAGGTAATGTAAAAATGAACAGGTGAAAGGACAAAACCGCACACCATTATAACAAATAAACATTTTACAGAAACTATCTATTACCCAAGCCCAGTTATCTCATCTTCTTACTGCTACAAAATCAACTGAATTGTGTATAAATATGGTACATGATTTTTGAAAGACAAACCATTTGTAAGTGAAGACTGACATTGTTTCCGACACAGCTGGCACAGATGCTTCCATGTTAGCATTTAAAATGAAAAGCACTGAACCTTTCAAACAGGCCCATCTGTCCTGAAGTTATTTTTACATTGTTATGAGAATAGTGTCAAATCCCCATCTTCTCTTCTGTGTTTAAGGAGAAACAATAATGCAAATACAGAAGGTCCTGTCTATGTGTTCTGAACTTCTAGAGATCAGAAGCTGAGAAATACTACTTTTTTGGAATACACTTTTGAGATTAAGTAAATCCTTGCTCATTAAAGGAATATTACATCTTACAATGACATTGAATAGAAATGCTAAAATAGAAATGAATTGTTATGACCAGCTGAATTCATTTAATTTAAAACCAATTATAATTTCACACCCCTCCACCCCCCCAAAAGCACACTGTAGGGTAACAACATTCTAGGATGATTTAAAGCTTTGTAATTTTATGTAATTTTATGTGATTTTTTGTTTCATCAAACCCCGAGATACTCTCAGCCCCTCAGAAACTTTGGAATGCAAACATGGGCATATGGTTTTTTCTTGAAGTCCATAGGAAACTTCCCCCCTTCCCCTGTCCCATCCCCCCCCCTCATGCTAAGATGTTTCAAAATGATGAAGCGAGTTTTGGCAGCTTCCAAGTGAAACGTAAGGCCTGTTGTCATCTGTGTCTTTTCAGATAACAAGTTCCAGTTACTGGGGTAGGTCTTTCATGTACATGTGAAAGGGACACACAGGCCTTAAAAATCCAAGGTTGTAATGTAAGTCTTGCTGCAGTAATACATCCTTATCATATGCCATGGAATGTTTCACAGGTAAGTCATGCTCATTTCACATAGAGCTTTGAAGATGAGTGTTAAAAGCTTAAATATGACCCACTACTGCAATAGCATGTAGAGAAAAAAAGTACATCTTGGAAGATGCAAGTCTTGGTGGCTACGCTGAGAAGCTGGTGGCCAGTGTCTTCTGAATCAAACATATATTTTCCTTCTAATTTAACTTAAAGCAGAGAGTTTTATACCTTGGTGGAAAGGCTTACAATAATTATACCAAATACATTGGTACAATTAAAACTGAATCTGACAGGAAGCTGTTTGGATGAAGATTACTCAATCTTTCTACCAGTATCAATTCCGGTCAAGTCACTGGATGTGCCTAAACTGTAATTCGAAGTAATGTGAAAGCCAGATTAATATTACAGTACAATCATTTGAGCTGCAGGCTGCTCTTTTTTGCTAGGCGAAGATTTTGCTCCAAGCCAAGATGGCTGTTTTCAGCACTTCTGTTGCTACTGCAGGTTTTTTAGAGGATTTAAGAGAACTTGATGTTTTATTACACTGACTACTTTTTGAGAGTCATGCAGCTGATAGGTTTTTCAAAACAAAGCCACCCAAACCACATTTTTATTTTTCCCATCTCCTCTTACTGACAATTATTAACAAATTAACTGGATGACCTGTGTTTGACCATTAAAATCCATCCACGTATTGGCATGTCTTGATAATTCATTCAGAACAATCTCGATGTGACTACATGACCAACACCTCTCCCTGGACTCTTCAAGGCCTTAAAGGCCATAATATAAAAGTGAGCAAGTAAAGCAGTTTTCTTTCAAAAAAAGCATTCAAAAATTCCCCCATTCTCAACCATCACATTTTCTCCACTAGGTGCTTATCAACCTTTCTATTGTTCCGTTTGACTTTGTCTCAGATTCTGCAGTGTCTGAAAAAAGCACTGCTTATCAGGTTTGAATGCACTACGCATGCCATAGACGCTGTAGTCTACACTGTTGGACATTGTCCCCTAGCGGTTGTACACAGTTGGAAAAGAAAAAGTAACTGTGTAGACCTTCACACACAAAAAGAAAACTGGTGGCCAATCCAGTTCTCTGGATGCAGCAAAGAGATCAATAGCACAGTTTTGCTAATCGTTAATTTTGTCTCTAGAATAAAGCAGCAGAACTTTGTAACTGATCACATTACATATTACTGAGAAGTCCTGAAAGATTATTACGACCAGAGGACCCTTGAGAGGCCTCTACACATTCTACACAAGAACAGCATGGATCAGAATTGTAAGCAACAACTATCTTTTCTTTATGTGCAGATAGAGTGCCTTATGGAAAGAATGACAGAAAACATACACTAACCTGCGTATTCCACTTCTATATCTGCTAAGGCCCGTATAGTATTTTCATGTGTTACTTCTCCAATATCAACCATCCCGACACTGTCATATACATGCTTTGTCTTCCTGATTAGTTCTTCTGTTCTTGTTCTAATTTGCTCTGGTGACAGGTCCCATCTCAAAAGGTTTCGGCCTGACGCTATGTATGAAGAAGCCTTGAGCTGGCTAGTAATTTCTGCTCCTAATGTCATTCTCAACACAAGCCGTGGCCCAACGGACCTGAAAGTATAAAAATTATCTTTGCATAGCAAGATTCTAGTCCAAAGGGTAATTTATAGTAAACATTAAAAAAAAGGCAACAGACCTTTAATAATTATAGAATATTTTGACAAGCAAGAACAAAGTCCTTTTTAGAGCCAGAACTTGTCCAGCAGGATCATACACAGCCGTTACCCTTGTCAATTAAGTCTAATTTTAAATAAATCAGAGGTCTGTCTTCTACCTTTTCCATTTAGAGGATGACTAAGTGTAGACAGGGATAAAAACTTTGGTATTGACAAAACCAGACAGATTATTATTTAATCTTCTAAGAAAAAGAGAATTACAGTTACTGAAACTCTATAGAAACAAACAGTATTTGCATTTTTGAAATAAGAAATAAAACTCACATAGTGATTTGTAGATTATGAAGACCAAGAGCTGCAAAGATGCACAAAATAAGACACACAAAAAAGTCTGTTGGTTGTGTTCATTATAACAAAAAATTTTGTATTTATACTGGATGTCTGCACACATAATCAGCCATGGGAGGAAAACTTTGAGTTGTTAGTCACTTGAAAATTTATTCCTTTACTTGTTGCGGATTTTAAACAGACAGTTTCACTCTATATGCCAGAACAGGTACCTAAGTTTACTGTAATTTATGTACTATTAATCCTGATTATATAAATCAACTATGTTTCAGCTTTAGCTAGCAGAAAAGTTTACATATGTAACTGATCTTAGCGTGCTGTGCAATCAATGGCTGCCTTTTCACTTATCTTTTTGACAATATTAAAAAAAAAAAAAGTGACTTGAAGCAATGAATCCAAACATAGTTAAGAAGATACTGGCTTCAGAAATACAGGCTTCTACCCTCCCACCCCAACAAACCAACACTCAATGTGGTTGTATAAAGGAGAAGGATACAAACTCAGGCAACTGACTGAAGTAGGGCTAATAGAAACCCACGCAGTCAACAAGATGTTGACTACATTAATAGCTCAGTTATATATGAAGTAGTTGCTGAGGCAGTCAATAATTTGATAGTAATTAAAAGACAGCTTGCATTCAAGCAGTAAAACTTGCTGCAGTGTTTAGTATCATAGGAGGATCTCTGGCTGGCAGAGACTTACTATCTGCTCCATATGTCAGTCTCATAATTTAGAAAACAAAAATCATATGTTGTTATGGTAATAATGACAACTTAAAATTTTCAACCATAACTAAAGAAATACAAGAACACACACAGAGAGCTTGCTACTAAAAGGGATGTTTATCTAACACTATTTTACATTGAATACCTTTTTCTCTTAATGCTAGCCACTGTGCCTATATTAATTTTATTGCAAAACCAGTCTGGTATGTGCATAAGTGCTCAGATGGGTTTTGGCATACAATGCAGGGAGCATGCACAAAAGGATAGGCAATTTTAGCCTGAAGGAAAAACAAAGCAGAAGAGTGAAACGCCAAAAATCTGAAAAGAGCTGCATGCAGGGCTTCTGTTTGAAGGCAAGACTTTTTGTTAAAAGTCTCACTCATCTATAAGAGGAATTCTCTAGAAATAGCCTAGCCAAAATTATTTTTATGCAAGACAAAAATGAAAGACATTTCTGTCTATGCTTTATGTTGAGAATTTTTTCTTCCTTGTTATCACAGTTTCTTCAAATCCTCCCACACCAGTGTAGGCAAGATGTTTACTTTTCCTTTCTACTGGCATACAGAAACATCAATGTCAATAAATTGATTATTTAACTCTGAAGATGAAGCCTGAATAAAGAATATTCCTTCCACCTCTGTTCTATCTCTCTGATACCAACTCAGTTCTGACATTAATGCCTTAGTAGCTTCTCCACTGGACTACTGAAACTTTGAATCACAGTTAGAAGTTTATGATAAATGAAGCTGCTTTCATGGCAGCGAAAGGTTAAGTATCAGCATTCACAGAATGAATTAGTTTCCCATCCCCCAAAACCACTGAATTCTACCCTGAATCTACATATCCATTAAAGAACAGTACTTCATTAAGAAGTCATGAACAGCTTCCCACTGAACTGCCCTATGCCTAGTTTTTCATGCATTGCTAGTGCAGCTCTGGTAAAACCTCATGGGAGCTGAATGGAAACCTCCTCAAAAGTAGGTTCAAGGCTCTGAACTTTACTCCCCACCTCACCCCCGCTGAGAACATCAGAAAGAATACGAAATGTGCCAAATTAAGGTAAAAATAAAAGTAAAATAGAATCAAAGGGCAACAACAGCTTGAACAACATAAAAGCTGACAACTATGCTAAAGTGCAGGATATGAAGCAGATATTCTTTTTTAAAGGGATCCTACAGCTTTCTGTCATTCATTACCTTCACCTAGGCACGTAGAAAATACAGCCCTGTCACTGACCAACTACATATTATCAGAAACAAACACTAAAATAGTCACAGCACCAGCAGATTATATTCATTTCAGCCTGTCCAACAAGTTTAATTAATGATTCAAGTTGGACTGATTTAAGGAGCTTGAAAGCAGGGTCCCTGATTACTGCAGAGCCCTACTTTTTAATACAAAAAAATATGCCACCTGATTAGCATAGTAGATAGGCGAGTTGAATTGAGGAATACACATACAAATTTGACAGCTGCATAAAGGATTGCTACAAATGCCAGCAAGTGGTTGTCTATCTGTTAGAGACAGGAAAACACAGAACTGTCTAGTTTTGAAATGCTGATACCTTGTCTCCACCTGCTGATTCAAGGAAGCAGTCATTTATGTAGATTAACAAAGGCACTACAAACTCAGAAAGACCTGTAAGTCTTTCTAATCGACCAAATTAAGGTGGACCTTCAAAAACTGTACCATACCATTTCACGTGAAACCAATCACTACATGCAACTCTTCAAATAACCATTCACAGACATGTGTTGTTACCTTGCTACCAGTCAATCAGATTGTACTTAGGGCCAAAGTAACTACATCAGATTAATAAAAAACATCGTGCAAATAAAAATATATGCAGAGGTGAAATCTTGGCCATTTCTTTTGTGGCTATGTATTTCCTATTCTTTGTCTACATAAAACTGTAAATAAATAAATTCCCCAAATTCCATGTATCATACTGCAATAAAATTGATAATTTACTAACTTTATCTTATTTGTTCAAGAAAGAAACAAAGAAACAATGCCAAAATGAAAGATTAAGTAGACTATAAAGAAACAAGAAAGAAGAGTGTAGCTAAAATAGTATGACTGTTTCAAAAATGCTCTGTAACTACACTTGTCGTGCTATTAGAGAGAAAACACTACAGTAAATTGTATCACTGAGGGAAACTTTACTTCCCAGATATAAATTGGAAAATAAATTCTATTAATAATGGTAGGAATCAGATGCAACAGCAAACAGCCTTCTTCAAATAGCAACTGAACCAACAAGATGCAATTATTATTTTAGGCTTGCATTTGGTAAACGGCAGCAAGAGCCAATCATTGCTTGGACTGAGCAACAGTTGATTCAGTTTAAATTAGACAGAAGGATGAACAAATGTAGGTCTGTAAATAATGTTAAGTGTATACTGCAATTATCCCATGTGGCCATGGGTAGGCTGATGCTAATGCCTGAACTGACTAGTTCAAACTTTTTCAGATACTACACTCAATTTTCTGCAGTGCAGTGTATAACAGTAGATGTATCTAAACAAGCCTAGGTTAAGGATAAGGTTCATGTCCAGTAGCAATATTGCCTTAAGATATCCTTCTTTCCTGTTCCTTCCTCTGCTGCTCATTTCTGATGGATGGAGTACACCACTCCATCAATGACAGCAGCATAGCTGTTGGTAGGGTCATACTTCGAAAAGATTCAGGGCAGCATACAGGTGAAAAATGAAGTGGACCAAAAAAATGCAGGGGGCACAGCTTTTTTTCAGCTTATCAGTTCCATCATCTATTTGATGTGTGACTTCAAAACAGTTGTGTTGGCCTAAACGAAGGATCAAAAGCGTCACTAGCCACCTAAGCCTACATTACTGCTACGAACACATATGAAATGCCCCTGAATTTAGTCCTGCAAAAAAAGTCTCAAGATGATTGCTGTCATTAAACACACCATTTAAATGCCCAAAAGCAAAAAGAGCTATTGATGCTAAGAGGCAATATTGACATGAGAACAAATTACAATAAATTGGTCAGGAACACAGGTAAGCTAGAATTTTAAGAGATGTTTGTAACCATCAGAGCAGTGAGATTCTTAAACAGCTGCCTAATAAGCACCAGGAAGTGAAAACACCTCTATCTATAACATGGAGCTTGACCAGCTTATAAAATGGATTATATTACACAGAACTAGACTTGATCACCTCAGCTGTCCCTTCCAGTCCCTATGTTCCTGTAAGGTCCTTCAAAATTAAAGCACCTTTATTTACATTGCATTTTTACTATGAATATCTAACTGGCCTCTGTTGGTAACTTGCACTGGCCTTTTTCTTGGGTGAGTCCTATGGCAGTGGAATGACATATGGGACAGACTGAAATATATCATGCATTTGTGCACTGCTTCATCCATCTATGAGAAGTTCAGGAGGAAAGGCACAGAAGGTTTGGTTTGGACTTTCAGCTACAACAAAGAGTATTATAGAAGCAGCACAAATTAGGGTATTAATCTGCCAATCCCAAAAGCGGTAAGAATGATAATTTCTACCAAAAGCAGTGCAAGCTGAATAACAACTTAAAAGCTTAGTAGCTCCTTCTAAAAGAGGATTTTTAAGAAGAAAACAAAGCTTCTAACTTACAGACAGCAATCATTGCTATTTTTGCTAGAATGCTGGGTAATTTATTTTACCAACAAATCTACAATTTGATTACTTGCTGCTTCTGGAAAATACAAATTTGATTTCATTTTAGAAGGGAGAAGGACCTTTATAATACTCTATTACAGCAATACAGTGGCCAGCATAACTGCTGCAAAGACAAACAAAGCAATTGAATTTACAGACTGATTTTTAACTTGTGCAGTAAGTATTTTGAACATATTAAACATTTATGTAAGTCTGGTTTTGTTTAGAAACATTTTCCGTGACTGGAACATGCCAAGCAACCCTTTGTTGGCATGTTCCATTAGCACTATTAAAATAAAACAAGAAAGCCACAATCTATGAAGCAGAAGCAGCAAAGGGTAGTACCAGCTTTAGAAAATACAAACACAAAAACGTGCAAGCTTGTCTACAATATGCTCCTACTACTGATAATCACTTTACAATACGGTCAAGATTTAAGCCTGCTGTCTCATTTAACTCTGATTACATATGGATAGCTATGACTCCATCCAAGACTCTTTAATGGTACTTCCAGTTTTCAAATTAATCTTCATTTAAACAGTATTAGTTACAATGACAAGTATAATTTTACAGAATAAAGTGTATTAACAAATGTATTTCTGGGAAACATATCTACAGACCAGTTTATTGTACTTGCTAATAGATCTGACAGTTCCATGTAGCCACACAAAAAACAGAGTATATCAGCTTCACGTGGGATGGAAAACTATATTCTCTGCTGACAAAAGATCTGGGATAACAGCTTCAGGGGTAAATCATGAGCCAAGATTTTAAAAAGAAGAGAGAGAAAGACAGAGAGAAAGGGGTCTCAAATTCAGATAATTTAGTCATCTTTTAGTTTTTAAATACTCTATTGGCAAATAAATACAATTATGTTTTTCTTGCTGCACCTTATGTATACTTCAGGGGACATTCCTACAGATATAAGTAAGAGCAGATTTGCAAATCACAATGAACAACTTCTTCAATCAATAGTTTACTGTAAGAAGCTCTGTAAAAACAGTGAATTTAAAATTAAGAACAACAGTAAGACCATTTTGGTCTTTCTCTCTTTTGAAGCAGCAGATCTTAGTTAAACAACACTTCCTAGTCCCACAGGCTGCAGCAGAACCAGCGCTGCATGCTGGAAGGCAGCACTGTGTATGTGTATGTGAAGAGCATGCTCAGCAGGTACCCGCAAGCAACATTCAGGGGGTCTAAGCGTTTTGACTCCACCTAGCGGTCTCGTTAAAAAAAAAATAAAACCAAAAAACCAAAAGAAACTAGACACGTACCATTACGGCAATATAAAAAGGTGACAGTTTGCCTCAGGACAAATTATTTAATCCTTGAATAATATGACATATGTTGGCATTTCCCTGAAAGTGAGACTCAAGTGCTACTAAACATATACAAATGATAGCAGACAGGCATGGTTTAAGCAAAGCTTTGTAACAGCCAAGCATCATATGGAATGGAATACTTTTTCTTTCTTTATATAAAGAAGTTAAAAAGCATTTCAGAAACAAACCACAATGAGTATTCAGCAGCATTAATATAATGTAAGATGCATTGCAGTCGGTCTGTGTTCTCAGGACAGATTTTAAAACAGAAATTTAATAGGCTAAAATCTTTGTATTATTTAAAGATCCTTAATTCTTGCTTGAATTTTAAATATATTTCCATATTGTTTCACTTTTGACTCACAGTTTTAAAAAAGAAGTAATTGTATATTTTATAGTAAAGCAAGGACAAAATCAAGCAAAGTAAGCAGAGGACTCAGTAACCCAAGGCAAAAACAAGAAGCGGGGAGCAGGGAAAGTCCAAGACAGAGCAAACAAAGTACAGTTAAATAGTGCAAAGCTAATCACAGGGCAACATTATTTCAATTGAGCCAAAGGAATGAGACTACAGCCCCACAATATATGTCACCACTTTTTCCTGCTGGACAAACACATTTGAAGTCCTTGTTACACTTCACTTCTCAGTCCTTTCATCTCTTTGGCTCCTGATGGTGTATGGAACAGTGAATACATGCCTTGAATTCCCGGGCCATTTTCCTTATAAAAGTACTTGGCTCTGTGTCATGACTGTGTTTAGCACAGACAGATCTCACTATAGCAAGAGGAGAGCATGTTTAGTACTTCCTGATTTAAAGCTCCATAACTGCCATTAGAAACTGGCTTTTTTCTTAAGCTGTGTTTGAAGGAACAGAAGAAAATCCAGCGCCTTTTAACACTAAACCATTCATTTTGTCATTACACCTTTCAGAAAAAAAGGATTCTCTGCAACTTAATTCACTCTACATTGTACACTCTACATTGATTATACTCCTATAACAGATATACTTTTAGCTCTTCAGGTCAATGTGAGTGAGTCAAAAAAGCTGTAAGTTATACACCCATTTTAAAATCTTTATTGACACATACATTACCCTCAGTGCTGCTTTTATGACCGCACTACCTGGCTACAGATGTTTACTGGTTTCTCTGATAGAATTAACATCAACAGCAAAGTAATTGAAAAAAGCACTCTGTGGCAACTAACAGAAAATCCAGACCTTAAGTAGGAACTCATACATGTGCATAACATGTTAATTTATGTACATCCTCTCCCTCCAGCCCCCTCCAACTGTCTTTAAACAAAAGGAATTTGGAAACTGGTCTGATTGACTTTCATAAGAGGAGGTGACTTCCACACAGCAATCTGAAGTGGAACGCACAGAAGTGTCAGGCTACTGTTTCTGCAGAGTGTCTGATCTCTAAAATTATAGTATCCATTGTTCTAGGGAAAAAAAAAAAACACAAATAACTAAGCAAACCCAAAACAAAACCCAAAGTTACTAGGACTGCTAAACTAGGCTTCAAACCCATTCTGTGAACTCAATCCATTCTGTGTCACACCACACCTCCATCACAGCACGCCTTGCTTGGAGGATTTTAGGAAGGAAGTCGAGAGACTTTTCAACATTCACATGCAGACAGTAAGTGTACTACACTGAACTTGATGCAGGAGGTGCTGATTAGTGTTATCTTACTGTTTGGTTCTACCAGCAAGTGAACCATGGAAAGACAGTGGAAAAAAATATTGCTTTTAAGCTCTCTCAGGTGCTGCTGCATAAGCATCTATCATATGTCTATCATGCCAGCAATATAAACAGCAGGTAGAGTGCAGCTATTTAAAGCAAACACCACACACTATTACTGCCAGAATAGTTCAGTACTTGAATCCAATCAGCTAATGCATGGAAAACAGCTTGTTGACTCCAACTAAAAAAGAAGTGGTGCTGCAGGACAGAGAAAACTATTGAGGACAGTTTGTAAAGACAAAAGGTTTCTTTTATTTACACCCGCAGTTAACCAGTTCAGCCTGTACCAAGGAAATACCCTTTGATTTCCCATTGATCTTAAGTCTCACACAGTCAAAGCAATGAAAAATGTTCTTTGCTATCAGTAGAGTTGGAAAACTCTATGCCTTCATGGCAGATGATGACCTAATCTCACTTACTTGCACCATTTTACGTCACTGTTCTTCCTGGGAAGACAGTGCATCACAGCATGCCATGATTGTTTCAATGCTTGCAAAATCCCAGACAGCACTCTCTGCTCCTGTGTGCCTGCTCAACATCACAAACTAAGCAAGCAAACAAAGTCTCCTTTCTGCTCTGGCTTTTGAGTGAACAGTGACTTAACAACACTGAGTGCTTCCCAGGCTATGTGAAAGATTGTTCCAGCATGATAAGTATGGCCAAGAACTTCACTCATTTCACACTCTACAGTAGAAATACAAAGTGTCTCTGTTAAAGACAGAGCTTTCTTAGAGACGGTATGATGAACACACACCCCGAACCGTATTTTGCTCAGAGAAAAGCGTAATTCCTCCCATCCTCACCTTGCCTTCCCTAATCTAAATACATATAACATGTACTGGAAAAGTCTCCTCTACAGAGGGACATCTTGACTCACAAATCTATTGGAATTCTGTGAAGAAGTCACAACAGACAGAGATCGGTTAATATAATCTATTTGACTTCCAAAGGCTGTTGACCAAAAGGTCCTAAAGAAACCATGCTGCTGTGTGATAAGAAGGGAGATCGTCTTATGGATAAATGGTTAAAAGCTAGGAAATAAACAGAAATGGCTGCTCATTTTTCTGAATGGAACTAGGTGACCAGTGGAGCCCTGCTGGGTTCCATGCTGGGTTTTGCATTCTTTCACATATTTATACCTCATCTACAAAAAGGTGGGATTAATGAAGTGACAAAATTTACTGATGATAATGTACTGATAACGCAGTGTGCTAAAGGCAGCCACAAAAAGATGTGAAAGAATGTCACAACACTGAGTAAAGTTTAAAACCACTAACATAGTGAATTTGTCTTAATAAATGTGAAGTGACACACACTTCTGACTTTACATACACAGTGACGAGCTGTGAGCTGATCTAATCATTCTAGAGACACAACAGTTTAATGAAAACATCAGCCAAGAAGCAGCTGAAAAGAAGGAAATGATAGGATTTAGTAGAGGGCGAGCAGAGAACAAAACACAAAGTTTCATTATATCACTCTGTAGTAACATGAAGCACACACATACTATGTGCAGTTCTGATCCTCCCAACAGTTATAAACTGTCTCATCTTCTGTTCTCCCACCTGCCAAAACCTTCTCCTGTTCTACCAAGTCATCATGAGTTAGTAACAACCAGCTGCAGTGAGCAATGGACTCCATTCAAAGAACTAGACTGGGATTCCTCAGACTGGAAAAAGAAAAGGACAACAGGGAAGTACTTCAGAGATTTATACAATCATGAAGAGGATGAAGAGAGTGAACAGGGATCAATTTTTCCCCCGTTGCCTCCCACATAACTCAGGAAGATATCAAACACAGTTTTAGGAGGCAGTTTCAAAGCAAAAAGGTACTACTGGACAAATTTTTGTACAGGATCATATGAGACAACTGTTTTTGTGTTGGGAAGTCCTCAATTCCTAGACTGTTCTGGAAAGATAGTACAGAACGTTCATCCTGTCTTACATGTTTTCAGAGGTACCTGATCCTGGCTCCTGTAGAAGAAAGGACAGACTTTTGAACTAACCCAAACCATTTAAAAGAAATCTTTCCAAGGGAGGCATTTCTTCCTTTATAGAGAGAATGATAGAACAGGTATGCCCCAAAAAGAGATTAATTGCGTTGCTTCGTGTGGTCCAACTGGTGCTCCTTGGGTCAAATTCAGTCCACAAAATGCTTCTGAGCCCGACATCATCGTCTCAGCCAGTCCACAGAACAATTTTGTTCTGCAAACTCTTTCTAATAGACGAATTGTGCCTCTCAAGCCTGCTGTGGTTAGAAAGGTGGCAGCTGTTGCTTTTGACCACAGGAAAAAATTGCTGCTGCAGTACACAGAGGAGGTTGTACAGTCCATGGACCACAAGAAAAGGGAAGAATGTTCCAAGTGTTCTGTCTGGCCCTTGCATTGCTGAGGCATTGGATCTGATAATGTAATGAAAGCATATGCACACACTGTGGTGATAAGTATGAAGTAAGAAAGTGACTAAGAAAGTTCTTCCTGTTTCTTTGCCTTCCAGCGTCATTCCTCCTCCTGCCTCTTTCCCCCAGCCCCAGTTTCTTGCTGGTTTATTTCCTCATCAAAAGAAAAGCCAGTGTTCAGAGTTTCTTTCCAG